GGTTTGGAGATAGAACTGTACAACCGGGTATGGTTGTTCAGGATGGATGGGCCTATGCAACGGGTATGTTGTATAGCGTTGGATTATAATTAAATAATTTATTGTTTTCTAAATTCTGAAATGTTTATTTATATGCTATTTATGCAAATGAGACTATATTATGCCATCCTTTGTTATTCCCTGCACTTGCATATTTGTTGCGTGGCTTGTTGAGTATGTCATATACTCACCTTGCAATCATTCATCAGAGGAGGAGTTCTACAGTGATGCTAAAGGTGTGGAGGATTAGGCGTAGCTCTAGTCAAACTGCTTGTGGGATGGAGTCGCCTTCGCTATTTATTTTAATTTCCGCTGCTTAGATCTTTATTGTTTGAGAGGAACTATCTACCTCTGTAATGACTTTATATTCGCCTATTAATTAGATTAATATTTGCACTATATTATCAATTTGTTATTGTGTGCGTCGGCTGATTCCTGGACGAGGGTTTACACACATGTAAGCGTTTGGAGTTTTGGATAGAAATTACGGGCGTGACAACTTGCTTGAGTGTGTTGAGAAGTGAAGTGAGCTCCTCCTTTTATAGGGTCGGTATGACGGTTACCCCCATGCGAATTGTCCATTTTACCCTTGTCACCGTCATTGAGAAGCAATTCTGGACGTCCACGTGGAAGGGGGGACCTAGCTGGCTTGCCCCTGGTTCGGCCGAACCCCTGGGTCGGCTCCAACCGACCTTCCCTTGGGTACAGTGGCTGATAGGTGAGTCCTTTAGGCAGTTGTGGCAAGTAAAGCGGTTTCCCACGGTTGCACCTGTCTTGTGGGCCCATCTTATCCATAAGCTTCTTAGGAGTGAGGTTTTCTCCACTTTCACTTTATTTTATTTGATAAATTCCTGCAACATGTTATTCTCCAAGTACAAGTGGAAATATATTCGTTGAAAACAAACATGCATTGTAAGCATAGCTAGTTCTTCATTATTTTAGTTATATTGGCGGTCGAGATTTGTCTGTAACGACCGTCAACATTGCCACGTCATCGTCACATCGTCCTCCCAGCCCAAGTGGCTACTCGTGTGGCGTCTCGTGTGGTCTCCCTGGTTCAAACTAATCCTAAGAACATGATTCAACCAAGGACAATAACTAAATGGCAGGCCTAGGATAGAGATTATTCCTAGGCCCCACATGTCAATCAAAACCACCTAGAATGGAGTCCATCAAGGACAATCATCAAGAGCTTTACCTTTGACTTAAGTTAGCTAGTTGAATCCATATTCCTATGGATTCAACTAGCTAACTTAAGTCAAAGGTAAAGCTCTTGATGATTGTCCTTGATGATTCTCCTATGGATTCAACTAGCTAACTTAAGTCAAAGGTAAAGCTCTTGATGATTGTCCTTGATGGACTCCATTCTAGGTGGTTTTGATTGACATGTGGGGCCTCCAATCCGTGTAAACCGGTCCGATTGTTTGGAGGTGTATTTTGTCGCATGGCGGGTGGTTTTCGTCCATAATTCACATGCATACAAATACTCAGCAAGACTTGTGTAAATGATTAGTAATAACCACTACCTCTAAGTTTGGTATTCCATTTTATATTCTTTCATTTGCTTTTATGCAGGAACTGAAGGTCGGATTTGGTATTGTCCGTCACAGTGCTTTTGCAAATGAATCATACTATGCCTTCCTTTTGTTATCCCGTGGACTTATATATTTGTTGTGTGGATTGCGGAGTATTCCATGTACTCACCTCGTAATAATCATCAAACCTTAGTTGTAGAAGTATTTCGAATGAGAATATGTTTGGCTTGTACCCCAGTTGAACTGCCTGTGGGAGTGGAGCTGAAGCTATTGCTAGATCATTTGTCTGCTGTTGTTTTCTTTTCTTTTGTAAGTATTTAATGTTTATATTATGTTGGATCTGTATATTAAATTGTTGATTTGTGTATGGCTGATGCCTGGATGAGAATCGTATGCACAGATTAGTTCAGAAATTACTGTGAACTTCCGGGCATGACAACCATTAAACTTAGTAAACTTGGGGACTTTAAAACCTGGGGGATTTGGGATGTTATCAAAATAATCACGATATTACTTTTGGTAAACCCTAGCTCAATTCCTTGGCTCAATTCTGAAAGCTTGTCTAATAATATTTCTCACACACTCTTCCATATTCTGAGGCCTTGGTTGTGGATTTGATGGCCTAAGAAGTTTTGGTGGCAAAGCAACATGATTATACTGGCCATAACATGCATTATGCGGATATCCCCAAAACATGATTAGGATCATTATAAACATTTTAAACCAGTGGAGGAATAGGTGGAATAGCAGTAGTAACAGAAGCAACATGTGAAATAGCAGTTGGTTAATGGTGCAAATAGAATTATTCATGATTGGGTCTATCTCTTGGACAGTTAGCAGGGTGCCTGTCTAACCAACCCAGGGTCTGGTCTGCCCAGCGGTTAGAGGTGCGGTCAGACCGGCCTGTGAGATGGCTGGTCCAATCCAGGACAGGGCCGGTCGGACCGATTAGGGGCCCAGTCAGATCGGCCGCAACCCGCAAGGCTACGGTTTGGCCCCCCTCCATGCATAATGCATTGTATGTTTCCCCATTTTATCCGTTTTTGCTAAAAAATTGTTGCATAGGGCCATAGAGGACTCACTAGTACTATGCATAGAACTATGTGATGGCAAATCGGCCAAGAGAGAGCCAAATTAGGAGTTCATAATGGTCTTTACCCTTCTATTACAATAGGAACTCGCAATGGCCTCTAATTTATTATTGAAGGTCATGTTTATGGTCTCATCTACAAAATTGTCTATAAGTTGCTAAATAGGAGGGGATACGTCATCAGGATTTACCTCTTCGGAGATGACAATTTGGGTAGAGGACCATTCCTTCTAAAAACATCTTGGTGGGTCTTCTTGTAGCTCCCAAGGATCGCCTCCTCCAACGCCTTCTCTTCTTCTTCTCGAGATCTTGTCACTATTCCTCGGTGAAATCCTCCATGCTGATGGGTAGGATGTTTCTTGGATTTACCTCCTCACGCTTGGCCATGATGATGATGTAGTCGTCCCTAGTGGAGTCGCAAAAAAACGTGTTGACGGCCTTTTCGATCACACCGCCAACACGATCCGTGATCCACCTAAAGCTTTATGGTGTATGGAGTTGCCAACCACCTTGACCTTGAGAAACCCCCTAATCAAGACGGGTTTAGAGATCAAAACCGGCTAGTTGAGCCAATTTAGACAAATAGGGATAAACACCATCTCCCAGGTAGAACAAAAGATTTTCGGGACAAACTTATGAAGAGGACTCGCATTCTTGTGGTAAATATAGACGACTTTCAGCACAAACCAATGAAGATAGGCTGACTAGGCTAAAACTTAGGGAAAAGTAGATGTGATATTGAAAGAACGATTCAATTGGCTAATTGTGTTGTTGTAGATTGTATCTCAGTTGAGCTGGCCATGCCCCTAATAAAGGGGTTGGTCTTGACTCCTACATGACCCTCTTCACATCTCACTAGGTGTACAAACTAATTTGAACTTGAAAAACCCCAAGCGAAGAAATCCGAGACCTGACAAAACCGGACATGGAGTCAGACTCCGCCGGTTTGACTAGCCACATGCTGCCAATCATACCAACGTCCCCGCACCATCGGTCTGACCGACCCTATGGCGGCAGTCAGATCGGTCTCGCGTAGCAAACAGGGTCCTTTCCAAATTCAACCATATTTTCCTATTTTTGCTTTAGGTGTCAAATTTGGGTGTTAACAACTTCCTTCTAATGATGTGAAGTGTTACTTCTATTTTATATTTTCTAGAATTACTTTCTCCTAGTAGTGTAGTTACTTCTAGTACCGTGAAAAATTACTTCTATTTCTCTTAGAGTTACTTCCTATATGACACTAAATTACTTTTTCCAAAAAATAATATAGTGAATACTTCAAACAAAAGAGCATCTTCATATTTTTACTTTGCATATTCCAACATCGTCCACTGTGTTTACTTTTAATGCCATTGAGAGTACCTTTGGTTAATGGTATAATGGTGTAAACTAGAATTTTTCGTGATTGGGTCCATCTCTTAGCCAGGTACAGAGCGCCTGTTTGACTGACCTAGGGTATGATCTGCCCATCGATCAGAGGTGTGGTCGGACTGGCCTGACAGACGACTGGTCCAGATCGGGCCAGGGACGGTCGGACCTACTAGGGGCCCGGTCAGACTGGACGCAAGGCTATGGTTTGGCTCGCCTACCGCGTAATGCGTCATATGTTTCCCCATTTTATCCATAATGCAGTGTTGTCCCTCACCACTGCACGTGCTAGAGGAAATCTGGACGCTGGAGGAAAGCAAATAGTTTAAAATCTTAACTATGTTTTGATTGTGGTGGTCTGCTCAAAACAAACTGGTTGAAGGGGGAGGTTATTTTCTACTGCATGAAGTGCCTTTTCTCGCTAACCGATTAGTTTCTGACTTAGATCAGCACATAAAAGCTAAACAAAATAAATGTCTTACAAACTCTGTTAGCTCATGGAAACCACCTACTGCTGGAATGATAAAAGCTAAATATTGATGGATCTTTCTTTCAACATTCAGGAGGTGGATGGGGTGTAGTAGCCAGAGGAAATGTTGGCTGTCGTCTGTTGATGGCTGCTAGGAAATTATAGAATCTGCAAAATGCTAACCAAGCAGAAGCTTTGGCACGCATTCAAGCGCTCCAAAAAGCTAATGATGTGGGAATGGGCCACATTATAGTTGAAAATGATGCTCAAGATCTGAAAGTGGTTGTATTGGATGACACACAAGACAAAAGTGTAAATGTTGTTGTTATTAGGGAAGCCAAATTTATGATTTCAATGAACTTTGATGCCCATCAAGTTATGTGTTGTCCTAGAGAGTGTAATCGTGTTACGCATAAACTTGCTAAGATTGGCACTTCTCTGGGTCTACAGAGCCACTTTGTTTGGCTTGGGGGATTCCCATGATTTTGGAAGCCTGCGATTCAGCTTGGCTATGAAGCCGTCTTCTTCTTTAAAAAAATGTAGAGGCTACATCCACTTATTCACGTATGTCCCATTCTGAAGTTCCACTTATTCACGTATGTCCCATTCTGAAGTGCAAATTACAAGAACATAAACTTCTATGAAGTCCAGATCAACATCACCATCTCGAACTATACACTTCAGAGAAATTATTGTAACCTATCTTGACAGGAAGTAGTTGCAAATGTACACCTATCTTTGCGTATAGTGTGTTTGGCTGTCCATCTGTAGTAGTTCCATTGGAAAACCCCATAACTACCTGATGGTAGCGTGGAGTCATTCATTCCCAGAAGACCGTGCATTTGCCTCAATCCAGTCAAAAGCGAGTGGGCTAAGGAAGGCATCTGGGATTCCGAAGGAACTGACAATAGCAAGTGCGTGGGGCCTGAGTTCACTGCACAGTGTCATCACTTCTTTCCTAGCAGCGGCTACATTCTCTCGCGATAGGCAACCATATCTCAAAAAGGATGCAGATTCGTCTATGCAAACCATAACATATAAAGACCTTAGTAAGCCCAATATATCCTGCAGAACGCAAATTCAAGGTTACATGAAGATTACTTCTGCATGAAAATTCACATAATAATAACAATACAACAATCGAAGGGATTCAGGAAGGACTTCAGCTAGGTAGCAAGAGGAGAATACATATACCTTTAAAGAACCAGTAGGAATATTCTTCTCATCCTCCAAAAATATTTGCAAAATTGTGCGCTCAGTAAATGCTCTAGCTAAGTCTTCAGCGAGTTGGTAGCTCTGGATAAATGTCACACAAGTTAGACACTAAGTTAAGCTCGCCAAGAAAATGTGCAGTAAAAGCAGATTTACCAGCATCAAAGCCTTCTCTCTGTTTTCTCCTTGTGCCAGATAGTTAGAAACCTCCGTGGTGAATCGTTTCAGTAAATCTCGCTCCCTCAAGCAGAGCAAGTCCATCTATTCACCATCACAAAGGCATACATAAAGAGTTGTCTCATGACAGCTATCTTATAAATGTAAGAAACTAAGTTATTATTCTATACCTGGAAACTGGAGCTTCTTAGTGTGCCACTTGTCAGATAATCAGGAATAACAGGGCAAGGACCATTCAAGTGTTCCAAGCCCAATCCCTTGAATGGTTGATTCTTCCTTTTTGCTGTCAAAAATTCAGCATAAAGGGCTTTGCTTACCTGAAAAGGTTAAATAGTTAAAATTAATCTAAGCATAAAATACCTTTGGGAGAAATACAAAGATGACAAACAATAAGCAAAATAACCTGCTGCATTAGAACATTATTGTCGCCCTCAAATGTAGACTGGACATCAAATTCAGCTTTGAAAATTCCTATGCGATTCTCTGTCTTCAAACCTTGGCCACCACAAGCTTCACGGCACTCCTAATAGATGTAAAAAGAAATCCAGAATGTGATATCGATCAAGAAAAGGGCTTGTTTGGAATAATAAGATATACTCCCTCCGTCCCAAAATATAAGCATTTTTGGACCTGGACACGGTCTCTGAGATGCTACTTTAACTAACAATATCTACAAAAGTAAAATATCTTAAATAAAAAGAGTTGCATATTATGATAGTTCATTTAATGATAAACATAGTAACATCAAATTTACATGATTAATCTTTTCTAATTTTTTGCTATTAATAGTCAAAATTTAAAAAGTTTGACTTAGCACTATTCTAAAAATGCTTATATTTTGGAACGGAGGGAGTAGACTCTATCACAATAAGCAAGAAAATTCTACTAGAATCCCTGTCCATCCGAATGTATCAACATTCCTAACTAAATAGATCTCTAAAGAAAAAAATACTTGGTGGCGCTTTTTGACAATACCTGAAGTGTGGTCATATTCTGCCAGGTAAGTGTAGCTTTAAGAGCACTAGAGTAAATGTGTATAGATTTGTTAAGTTCAGGAGTCCTCTTCACATACATCCTTTTCATAAAATTACCAGCACTGCTCATCAGACATCTGCATAAGGAAATATACTTTAGCATATATGATGACATTAAGTAGTAGTGAAAACACTGAAAAAAAGGGCTTAGCATTAGTGATGTTTTTTTACATGTTGGGAATATTAGCAACTTTAGTGCTAATATTTTTTTATAAGGATACTGGCATTTCATGACTAGAATATCAGATCTACTCCCATGCCAAATGTTCAGCAAGATGATAGATTAGCAAGAGGAAAAAAAACGAATGAGCTACTGCAAAAACTCCAAGCTGTGGAAAAAGCTTCAAAATTAAATACATGCAAAGTACAAAAATCCAGAGAAAGCTAGTAGGTTACGCTTTTGCTAGCAGTGGTAGAAGGCGTCGCTGGTGACTGGGATAATCAAGTAACAGCATTTCAGGACCATCCGGTGTAACTGAAAAGGCTCTCCTTGACAAAGCATATCTCACAGCAATTGCAACGCCAACCTGTAAGCACAGAGAAAGAGCACACAAGCTTATTTATTTTAGAAGTTTTAAGGTCCTTGAGGAGGTACCGGGAGTACCACATTTTCTACTATAAAATTTGTACTTCTCAGTGTCTCGTGTACCAGCAGGTATTAAATTTTACAATAGAAAATGTGGTATCTCTTTGTACCCCTAATTTGTTCAAGCTAATTGCTAAGAAGGTTGTCAAACAATGTACAGTGGCTCAAGCATTGGGTAATCAAACATGGATCACAGATATAAAAGGAGCTCTCACTGTGAAAGTGATTAGAGAGTATCTTCTGATCTGGGATTTAGTGCTTGCAGTAAACTTGCAACATGATACACCGAATCAGCACCGTTGGAGGTTATCGGGATCTGGTACTCTAGCAAATCAGCATATGAGACTCTTTTTGTTGGGACTATCAGATTTGCTCCATGGAGAAGGGTATGGAAATGTTGGGCACCGCTAAAGTGCAAATATTTTCTATGGTTTGTGGTAAATAACCATTGTTGGATGGCTGATCGCCTGTCCAAGCGAGGGTTCCCACACCTAGTTGCCTGCCCTTTGCAACATATTCTTATCACTTGCGTTTTTAGCTGGCAGGTTTGGTCGCTGATCCTTCACAGAGTAGCTTCACGCTTCACTGGCCTCGCCCCTACCCCTGACACATGTCATTTCTCAAGCTGGTGGTCTAGGGCAGTGAAGGACATCAACAAAGAAAGGAAGAAAGGGCTAAACTCGCTTATAATTCTGGTGGCTAGGGAAATTTGGAAACACAGGAATGATTGTGTTTTCAATGGCTCAATTCCGAGGGTGTCAATGGTGCTACAATCAGTAGCAGATGAAGGCACATTCTGGTGCTTAGCCAGAGCTTTAAAGTTTCGTGAGATATTGGGTAGGTCGATGGCCCTTGCGACTTAAGTGATCTTGTTTTTCTGTTTTTAAGTGTTTAGGGTGGGGAGATTTTTGATCCCCTCCCTGTGCTTATCTTCTTATTATTAATGAAATGATGCACAGATCTCCTGCATGTTCGAAAAAAAAACCTCTTATTGTAACGTATCTAGGAACAAAAATTTGATTGAAAAGCACATTCCTCTGCGTGTTAGGAACTGGATTCTTACTTTATCACTGGCACTGATTGATCTAAACTCAACCATTTTAAAAAGATTTCTCTATACTCCATCTTGGCTTAGTTATTTCAGTTCATGAACAGTCAAATTCCAAATAAATCTCTGAATTATAATTTCCAGGTTTCGAGAAATGTTCTTGGCTGTAAAGGTACTTCCAACCAAACTTGTTTGGGCTGATCTAACTAAGTGCACAGATGTGGTCTGTCCTTGTTCAAATAGATGATACTTCACTTTGCTTGTGCTGTTTATCTTAGCTGATTCCAGTTTGCTTAATTACCAGCTAGTCTAAATGAGCAAATTCTATAATAATCTTGAGCTACATATATATATACCCTCTGGAACTCATTCGAACAATCTCCATGTATATATAGAAAAGGAAGGGCACATGACATACCTTTGAAATATAAACCGCATTAACTGCAATATTAACTCGACCAAGTGTAAGTGGAGATAAAAATGCTGCAAACCTCTGCAGAACAGAAAATTATCAGTTTGAAAATGAGACAAAAATGAATGCAGCAACTACTTATCTATGTGTACGTCTAGGGAGTGAGGGAGAGAGAGGATAAGGTCGCATTACCTGATCAGGGTCATCTATCGTGCTAACATATTGCCCATCCGGCAAAACATCAGCAACAAGATTCAGCAAATTCTCTCGAGGAACACGTATATTGTTAAACCTGACAGACAGTTAAATTAATTTACAATGTGCGTGATAGGAAGACAAAACTTTACAGAAGTACAAGGGCTCACCAAATTCGTCCATTATCAACACCATTTAATCCAATTTTATGGCCACAGTCAGCTATCTGGATATTAGGCATAACATTTTCATGTTCATCCCTAATCTGAGCTACAAAAGCATGGACTCCTTCATTTCTCCCATTTATATGGAGCTGCGCAAAGACTATAGTATGTGTAGCATGCTGTAAAAGGCCACAAACACCAACAGTAAGTAATAACCAAATAGACAGCATAGATGTACTCAATTATTTAAGTGAAATTTCATCATACATTAGCAGCTCCACCAATCCAGTACTTCTGGGCTGATTCACAAGGAGTATTTATCACAAACTCTCTTGTTTTAATATCATAAGTAGCCACTGTCTCAATTCCTCGGACCTTCAAATTAGTCAAATAAGGCAAAGAAAAATCTCATCAACACAGCTAACAAAACTACAATTCAGTAATTTGACCAAAATATCATCACATACATTGCTCCCATGACCCAGTTCTGTCATGGAAAAACAACCCTTGATAACATAATTTTCTGTGTCCGACAACCATTTGTCATGGTGGCGCTTTGTTCCAAGAAACTTGATTGCGCTGCCCCTGGAGTGCAAAAAGAAATGATGTTTAATACCAGAAAATTGTCAACAAACATAATGCTATCAGTTCTATCAAATAATCATTCATTTTTCGAATTCAACATGTTACACTTTCTACATGAAAAATGGAAGGAGATCAACAAAATATTGAATAACTTCCATGAAGGGTTAAGACCAGTTCCAGGCGGATGTTCTCTCCAGTTCTGTATGCTACAAATATGAAAATGCTATCATACGAACCTAATTTTATAATGGGATAAACAGTAATTGCTTAAAGAACAAGTGGTGCTTACAGAAAGGGTACATGGCATGGAGGAAGATGGAAAGATAGAGTTGAGAAGCTCATTGCTCACTTGGTATCAAAATACAAAATAGAGATAATAATCCTTCATCTAGAGGACTGTCGTATAATGTACGGGGTAAATTGGCAAAGCCTCGTTTCATAGGAGATCCTAACAAGATAGAACAAAACATTCTCCTGCAAGCAATGGCTAACAATTACACCCAGCAGCTAAAGTGGATAAGATAACAACAAAATCTATTACTCCTGCACCTAATTTTCCAGTACAGTATAGGATTGGACTTTGGGTTGCAAAGGGGCCAACTGTGATGGCCTGATGGGAACATGCAGAGAACACCATTGAGGACCGTCAATTCATTCATATGTTGCCAAGAAAGAAAACACGATTGCTATAGTCCAATGAGAAAACCATTCAATAAAACTGCGAAGTAAAGTAAGACAAAGCAAGACAAAACCTATTCTTTTTTTCTTTTACCAACTCTCTTCTTCAAGTATGCTTTTAAAGAGAGCTTTCTCTCTCTTCCCAATTCATTTTAGTCTTACACACAGGACAGTGGGTACACAGGAACAAAACGAACGAGAAACTTAACCAAATTCGTGACTGTATGCGTATTGCAGAAGAACCGAATCCCATAAGAAGAAGACAACTGCCGGGGAGATGAAAGAAGGAGGGCACCTACGGGGTCCGAGATCCACATCGACGGCGAGGTCGATCCGCCACAGGCCGGACCGGAGTCAGCCGAATCCTTGCAGCAGCAGAAACGGATCTAGCGCATTCGGATCAAATGGTGGAGTCGCTTGGCCTAGTGAGGTGCGATTTCGCCGGAGAGGGGGAAAACTCAGTAACGATCTGGAGTGTAATGGGCCTTGGACCACGGCAGGATTTGATTCCATTGTATTCGCTATAAGCCCATTTAAAACAGCGCATGTAACGGGCTTGGATCATACTATTATCCTATTAGGGCCCAGAATCACAGTACCTAAAGTTTTGTATGCTGAGTCAACTATATCCGTATCAAACTGAACGGAGAGAAAATCCATATTTTGGTGCAATTAAGAAATTAGGTATATACAGATTTTCTAAATTTTAAGAGAATTAGGAAAAAAGAACGGGAGCATTGAAATAACTTTGTAGTGCAGAGCTAATGAAAGCATGAAACTTTACAAGAGAACCAAGCGAAACGAAACAACATTATGTACTGTAAGTAAGCAAGCAAGCTCGGAGCCAGAAGAAGTGTAAAAGAGAACAAAATTATGTACTGTAAGCAAGCAAGCTCGGAGCTAGCAGGGGTGTAAAAGAGGACAAACTTATGTACGCAAGCAATGAAGCAAGCTCGGGCCGAGCGGAAGAAAGGTCGGAATCACCAGATGGCAAGGGAATTAATCACCAGAGGAAGAAATGGACGCCGATCTTGATGGCGAGCGAGTGATCGTAGACGCCAATGCAGTCGAGGAGCGCGATCCTGCGGAGCTCGGCCTCGGCGTCGCCCTCCGTGTCTGTGAGCCATCCACGGAATACGCCGCGCCGCGCCAGGTACCCGATCCGCCTCATCTTCGCCTCCCGCAGCCCCTCCTTGTCCTTGTTGAAGTCCGGCGATGCGAACACCCTGCCTGCAGGTCCGGGGCCCCCGTGCCGGCTGCAGAACAATGTGCTCTGCTCCATGACGCGGAACATCCAGTCCCGCACGCCCAGGTCGTGCCCGTCGAGCAGCCTCCGGAGGTCGCCTAGCGCGAACGCCGGGGGCTGCTCATTGGACTCCGGCGGCACGTAGCCCAGGCAGGAGAATGGCTCGAGCAGGGAGGCGAATTTGGCAGCCGGAATGCCGGCGAGGTGGCGGGCAATCGCTGCGGCGCGCCGGCTGGCGGCCGGCGAGGAGGACATGGGTTCCATCGGAGTCTTCGGTGTCCAGAGGAGATCAAGCGAGGAAGAAGAGGTCGGACCGTCGGAGTCGTTGCGGTGCGGAGCGGAGATGAGACACCGGAGCAGCTTCGAAGTTGACAAACATATATCGAATCGGGAGATGCTCTCAAGTCTCAAGCAAATGGACAAAAAAAAATATACTTTTTAAGAAGAACCTTCGACAAACGAAGAAAAATATTGAAACGCAGAAAAAAAAAACTGACACGTGAGACATGCTTGGCCTGAGCACAGAACAAACTTGAAAACTACCGTACTGGACATGTGAATCTCTCAAAGCCACTTACTCTCAAGTCTCAAAACCCTCCCCAAGCATGAAACGAGTTCGATTTCCTGGCTCATCCTCCTTGGGCTGGTTTGGGCCTCATCAAACAAGACTTTAATTAAATTGATTATAATAGTTTCGCTTTATAACTGGTTGGTTGCTTAGCTGTGTGTGTTGCCACTTTGTGGCCTGCACGCTATACACGAATTCGAGACTACAGGGATAGGGTATGTGTTGCCACTATGGAAGCATGTGTTGCAGGATGCAGGTACTCTGCAATTCTGCTCACGGATAAACGACCCCACTCCTGCTGCCGCGCTACAGCTGTGTTTAGTTTAGCGCAAAGTTTGAATTTTGGTTCAAATTAGAGATGATGTGACTGAAAAGTTGTGTGTGTATGACAGGTTAATATGATGGAAAAGGACTGAAGTTTGGATCCAAACTTTAGATCTGATCCATCCTCAAATATTTCTCTTCCGTTTACTTTTCTCATGGATTGCTTGCACACCTAGAAATCCTAATAATTTACTTGCTACTAGTAACTTGCAGTAAGTTCAGTATTATGCAGACACGGAAGGACACCATGACCAGACTAGCTGTGTTTAGTTTCACGTCAAAATTAAAAGTTTGATTAAAATTGAAAAGTTTAAAGAAAAAAGTTAAAAGTTTATGTGTATAGGAAAGTTTTGATATGATGTAAAAGTTAGAAGTTCAAAGAAAAAGTTGGGAACTAAACCAAGCCTTTGCCAAGTCTTTGGTCGTACAATGCCGTGGCTGATCCTAAATTCATCGCACCAGAAAGACTGCCATAGCAGAGCTCAAAACTGGGAATTGAGCGCGAAATTGGGGATTGGCAATATAATGTGAGCTAGGAATTGGCGAATTTGAGACAAAATTGGGGGCGAGGGGAACGTACCAGAGGAAGAAGTGGACGCCGATCTTGATGGCGAGGGAGTGGTCATACATGCCGAGGCACTCGAGCAGCGCGAGCTTGCGGAGCTCGGCGTCGGGCCCCGGCTCCGTGAGCCAGCCCCGGAACACGCCCCGCCGCGCCAGGTAGCCGACCCGCCGCATCGTGGCCTCCCGCTGCCCCTCCTTGCCCTCGTTGTAGTCCGGAGACACGAACACCTTTCCGCCGCTGCGGCGCTGGCAGAAGAGCGGGCTCTCCTCCATCGCGCGGAACGCCCAGTCGCGCTCCCGGAGGTGGTGCCCGTCGAGGAGCGAGCGGAGCTCCAGCGGCGAGAACGCAGGGGCGGGCTCCGACGACTCCGGGGGCGCGTAGCTCAGGCACGCGGAGGGCTCCAGCGCTGCAGCAACGGCGGCGGCGTCGCGAGGGGAGAGGCCGGCGAGGTGGCGGGCGATGGCGGCGGCGCGGCGGGCGGTGGCGGAGGGAGGGTACGATGGATCCATCGGAGCTATGGCTTGCGATCGTTGACGTGAGGACAAGGATTTGGTGGGATTGTGATGGAAGTTGGAGGAGGGAAAGCTTCTGCAAGATGGCGTATATATCTGCTGCCGAGTAAACAGAAAGGGAGGGAGGTGAACGAATCGGAGGTTGCGCCGCGTCATAAATGCAATACTAGTAAGTACATACTCCCTCCGTAAAAAAAAAAAAAAAGATAAACTTGGTTTCCGTACTTAACGTGTCCGTCTTATTTAAAAAAATTATGAAAAAAATTAAAAAGACAAGTCACACATAAAATATTAATCATGTTTTATCATCTAACAACAACGAAAATGTGAATTATAAAAAAATTTCATATAAGACGGACAATCAAAATTGGATACGAAAATCCAGAGTTTGCTTTTTTTTTGACGGAGGGAGTACATATTTATGGGCGAATAGCTATTTTCATTCTAAAGTTTAGGCGTCACGATTAGTAACTACTCCGTACTCCGATATGGTTTAGGAGTATTTTATTAAAACTGATTCTTTGAGTCAATATGGTTTCTGTATTCCATAAGTCCACTCAGTAAACTCCTAGTCCTAGGCCTTTTGGCAAGATCCATCGGAAAACGTCGACTTATACGTATCTCTACTATTATATATCTCTACTATTATAAAAATTAAAGATGTTTTTGTCGGTATTTTGGTATGTCATCCGTGTATGAGTCGGTTTTTAAGTTTGTTTGCTTTTAGAAATACATATCCGTATTTGAGTCGATTTTTAAGATAGTTCACTTTCGATAATACAGAAGGACTCATATACGAAATCTATTTAAAAAAACTCGCATGCTAACTTGAGAATCGGACTCCTAAGTCCTAACTGCAGCTCATGAATTTCATCTTAACTAAATCATATCTCTACTATTATAAAAATTGAAGATGTTTTTGTCGGTATTTTGGTACGTCATCTGTATTTGAGTCGGTTTTTAAGTTCATTCGCATTTGGAAATACAAATCCGTGTTTAAGTCGGTTTTTAAGTTGTTTACTTTTAAAAATACAAAAGGAGACGTATAAGAAATCACTTTTAAAAAAACTTGCATGCTAACTTGAGATGATCAGACTCTTAATTGCAGCTCGATCATGCGAATTCCCACATTAAATTTCACCATAATTAAACCATACTGAAAAGTTATGTGTGTATGACAGGTTGATATGATGGAAAAGGACTGAAGTTTGGATTCATAGATCTAAAGTTTAGGCGTCACGATTAGTAACTACTACGTACTCCGATATGGTTTAGGAGTATTTTATTAAAACTGATTTCTTTAGAACACCGTCACAATAAGTCCACTCAGTAAACTCCTAGTCCTAGGCCTTTTGGTAAGATCCATCGGAAAACGTCGACTTATACGTGTCTCTACTATTATATATCTCTACTTATATATTATATAAAAATTAAAGATGTTTTTGCCGGTATTTTGGTACGTCATCTGTCTATGAGTCGGTTTTTAAGTTTGTTTGCTTTTGGAAATACATATCCGTATTTTAGTCGATTTTTAAGATAGTTCACTTTCGATAATACATAAGGAATCATATAAGAAATCTATTTAAAAAAACTCGCATGCTAACTTGAGAATCGGACTCCTAAGTCCTAACTGCAGCTCATGATTTTCTATATATATATATATATATATACACACACACACACACTAGCAAAAGTGCCCGTGCGTTGCACTGGGTGTTTACGTAGTGTGTATAGTGAAAAAAGTGTTGTTTGGTTTAGACAACTAATCTACTAAAAAAATTGTTTGCTTTTAGATAAATAATCTGCTCTTTATTTGTAGAAATGATCTTTAGTTTGGATGATTTGTAGCACGGGAGAAAATGGATGGACGAATAATACGATTGTCTTTGCCCAAAAGGCGACGGATGAAAATTGGTATCATGAACGAAAATATTTATTTTTTATGTAGAACACGAGTGGAATTTTTGTACTCAATGTACTTTGAATTGCGAGAATATATATATTTTTAGAAACACATAGTGCAAACGCGCTCACAACACGAGCATTGAGATTGACGAAGTAACCACGAACGCCTCGAGCACCCGTGTCAAATCAAAGATTTGAATCTAGATTGACTGGTTTCACCACAAGAAACCTATCCAGGTAAACTATACCCACTTAGCAATTGTAAGAATATACTTGTGTATTGTTACCTGAAAAAAATATGTCGAGTTCAACAAATTGTAAAAAACAATCTTATTAATTTTGTGAAAGTGAGTATTGTTTTTTATTTACAAATTGTATTTGAGGTCAAATATTAATAAGTAGACATTAAAAAGAAATGAAAGAAGATTAGATGGTGAGGGGAAAAAATAAAAAACATAATAAAAAAAGAGCGGACAAGGACAGGTCAAGAAAATTTTATTATTTAAATATTTTTAATAAATAGATGCTCGTGTGTTGCAACGGGTAAACTAAAATTATAATAAATATAAAAAATATTAGATCATTAGGATTTTGTTTTTATGATATGAGCCCTTTAAAAATATATTCCTTATAGAAATAAAAAAAGTTGTAAAAGAAAGGCCCATTAGACTTAAAACCGAACAAAAATTAAAAACCAACCCTATAAATCTCTATATGTGCCGGTTATATGGCATACTTGTGCTGTTTTTTATTTCAAATACAGAGTGCTCAATTTTTTTTAAAAAAATATAAGGCCCGTCAGGTCTAATCCTTATCCCCGAGCGAGCAAGCGGAGAGCGAGCGGAGCAAGCGGCGCCTCGATCCTTCCATCTCCTCGTCTTCTCGTTTTTCCCGACTTCCCTTATCCTCTCTCTCTCTCCTCCCTTCCTTTTCCTCTTTCTCGGTGTTTTCTCCACTGCCGTCGCAGCCAGCGACACCCTCCCCTCTCCCCTCACCAGTGCGCCGCTTCCCCTCCCCCTCGCACGGCGCCCTCCGCTCGGCTGACGGCGCCCTCCCCTCAGCGCCCTCCTCCTCTCGGTCTTCTCCCTCGCTCTCCTCTCTCTCGTAGCTGAGGCGGCAGTCGGCGCCGCAAGAGGGGAGGCGGCAGGCAACGGGTGGCGGCGGCAGGTGGAGATGGTGCGGCCCAGCGGCGGCAGGAGGTGGCATCGGCAGCAATGGCCGCGCCCTCCCCTCCGCGGCAGCGGCGGGAGGAGCGACGACCGCCCAGAGGTGCCCTCCCACTGCCAGATCCGGCGGGAGGAAGGGCTCCGGAGCTGCGCCGCCTCGCCATCCTCCCCGCCGCCACCTAATGCGCCGGTCGATCTAGCGGCGGCGGCTCCCTCCGCCCCCTCTCGCCTTCCTCCGTTGGCGGTGGTGGCGTTGGTGGTAGCCGCGGGCGGATCCGACGGC